TATAGGTATAACTACTTGTAAGAGAAATATAAGGTTAATATTATATATATTGCTTTTTAGATACCTATTTTTTTAATTTTACATAAAAATTACACTGTATTTTATGTTATTCCAGTAAATAATAGAGTAGACTACTTCTGATTAATGCTGTATGCTGTAAATACTTTATAAGTATAGTATATAAATTATCTCTTTAATATCTTTAAAGCTTGTTGAGGTATGAGCGTACAAAAAAACGCATTTTGTATGGGTATTCTAGTGATCGGAGCAACCGGGTGATCGAAACAGCCGGGAAATACGTTAGTTAAACTAGTTAACTAGTTAACTAGTTAACTATGTGAGGGACGGATGCTTATGTAAAAAGCACGCAAAACGGCCAAAAAAGTTATTTCCTTTACAATAGGGGGATATTATAATACCAAACTCAACAGCAAAAATTAAATTAAATTTTTTTTATTTTAGAAAGTAATAAAAAAAAGAGAAACATGCAACAGCTGGGATTCGCTGGTGGTCACCCACCCAACTACTAACCAGCCGGCGTGTGGCTTAAGTACGGCTGAGCGGACGGGAAGCCCTGTTTTCCACACCCTATGGTCGCATGTGCTAGGCGCTTCTGGTCAAGGGCTTATAAGGGGAGAGGAATATATGAGGTAAGAAAACCGAGCTCTCGATGAAAGAGAGAAAAGGGGAACAATTGCAGGAGCAAAAGCGATAGCTGTATCGGTACAATCAAAATCACTTACGTTAAAAGGGTAAGGGATATACCATAGACCCGATATTGCTGATCAGTTCAATTGGGTGTCTAAAAATAAATATTCCATAACTAAGAGCAGTTGCACCGAAGCCTTTTCTCTGGACAGTAGATAAACCACGACAATACCTACCTAGGTATTTTAGCAGCTAATTCAAATTTCGGCATTAACAGTTACCTTTACAAATATAGAAAAATTAGAGTTTCTTGCTAGTAGTAGTACTTTGTTGTTAGTTGTCGCTTGAAGGAATTATATATTTATATATATTTATTTATTCTTACCGGGGAAGGTAAACATATGTAGTCACTTAAGTACAGGGTTTGGAGAAAACGTTGGTAAACAGTCTATTAACTGTTCAAAAAAAAAAAAACAGCGAGAGAGTCACTCAATGATCAAATTCAATCGACTCATCCCTGAAATGAATAGGCGAGGCTGACATGCGGCAGAACTACTTAAGGCTCACTCTCCCCACAATTCAAACAACTTGATCACAGCGCAGTCAGGTGGAATGCATCGATATTATGAATCAAAGTGATCTACCACCATAGCACCATGACTCCCAATATTCCCGCCTTGATGTTGTGAGATGGAACCTCGATCCCAATGGTATTTGACCTGATTGTATTGTCTACAAAAGGAACATGGACTAACTCCGCTAGATGAGATTCGGCACAGGAACAGCATGGTATAAGGACGACATGAACGGCTCTTTTGTGCCGGAGCTGGTTGAAATGGTGAAGAGTGCAATCCGTCAGGGATACCGACACATTGATTGCGCCGAAGCCTACGGGACCGAGGCAGAAGTCGGAGTAGCTATCAAAGAATGCGGAGTCCCCCGCGAGGAGCTTTTCATCACGACAAAGGTCGTCGAGACCATTGACGATGTGCCCTGAGCCATCGACACCAGTCTGAAGAAGCTCCAGCTCGATTATGTTGATCTGTAGGTTCTCTGACGATGGGCACTGACATTGCACCCCCATTTCTTTTTTTCTAACAATGTGTGTGCAGCTATCTGATCCACAGTCCCTATTTCGCCCAAAATGACGCCAATCTGCAAACAGCCTGGAAGGCAATGGAGGAAGTGCAACGCTCAGGCAAGGCCAAAGCCATCGGCGTATCTAGCTCCTCGTCCTCATCTCGA